AATAATATACTGTGCAAGGATCATTAGATGAGAAATAGTTGTGCCCAGTAGACCTCCAAAACTATGTCTTCAGAAACACTCCCTGAGACAGACAGAAGTAGGAAAATGGTAAAAAGAGATGAGAAGGCAAAAGAAGGCAAACCCTGCTTCCTGGTGAGACCATGACAAATAGGATTGGTTGTGACATAGTCCTCTTGGTATTTGTCGCAGTGAATATTTTTAGAACAATTCACTTTGAGCAAAAATTATTGAACATGACATAAAATCAGTTTTTAATGAGTCAGAATATATGCAAAATGAGAAGTTGATTTGGAAAGCTCACATGAGAGTTTTGGTCTGGTTTATGCTGGAATGTTTGTTTTGGCTATTTTAGGATTTAAAAAATGATAATTTATAACTGATAACAAAAGGGCTGTTTTTAAAGTGGTGCCTATCAGTTTAAAATACAAAACCTGCCATCAAAGATATAAAAAATAATAAACATTGCAGGGATCAGAAAGAAATCTTATTTCCCTTGATCTTGTTCATTACATCATTTTTATACTTAAGCTTTAATATAGTGGACTTTATCAGACTCTCCTTATGGAAGGTTGTTCACCTTGCATTAATAAGGCATGAAAAGGATACAGGTCATTCTTTTGCCTAATGTTAGGGGATTTTCAATATGTAGTTTCGCATGTTTTAGATCACATACTCTATTACATGGTGTCACAAAACAATAGCATTGAGTTTCAAAGCTACGATGACAATACAGAGCTCTGCATTCCAACATATTCTGATGAATGTTTTACATGTACTTTAAATATTAAAAGATGTATGTTAGAGAATTCTCTCATGCTGAATCAAAAACATTGGGCTTAAGTAATTGACCCAGAGCATAAAAAACAACAACTTCTTACTTTGAACACTTGCAATACAGCTTTCTAATAAAATATAAAAATTGGAACACAAGTAGAGTTTTTGGTACAAAAAAACTGCTGCAGAGCTTAATGCTCCTCTTTCCAATCTCCCCCAAAGAAATACTAAACTTCAGCTACTTTTAATCCTATTTACAGTATAATTCACCTGATTTGCTGTAACCTACAAGCTCTACAGCCCCTCAGGTCTTTTTTTGAACAGTTTTTCTGTCTTTTTTAGGTGGTTCCTTACTGTAATTCCAAACATTTTCTTAGGTCTATATAGTATAAGAAGTTTATACTTGTTAAATAATTATGAGTATGTAATTTACAAAATTTAGCACATGGTGGTGTGTTTGTTGTCTATCAATAGGCTACAGAAACAAATTTATTCTTTGAATGTATAAAAAAGTCTTGTATAAATTTTGCCAATTGTATCCAATTAACTTTCTAACACTTGATTAGAAAAAAAATCACTGCAGATTTAAATTCAAGCAGCAAAATTAAATAAAAATAATGGAATACTTTAACAAACATTTTGTTTTAATGCAACAAAATATTAAAGATCCTTGACAGTATTATGTCAAGGCATATGCATTTGTCATATGCATTTTAGTGCATTTGAACTCTGATGTGACTGCAGAACTTTGAAAATAAGTTTATGAACTATACAGTCAGAGACAAATTCTGAATAGTGGTTTTAGTCAGCAAAGTGGTTTGTGATTCACCCCTATTACGAGTGTCTTTTTCTTGCCAAACACAGTAGTGCCAGTTCACAACTGAAATGTCAGTCTGTGAGTCAGTCTACTTTTGCCCAGACTGAACTATCTCAAAAACAATCCAGTGAAAGCACAGACATTACCTTTTGCTTGACAGCTGGATTCTGTGAGATAGCAATCACAAGAAAATGAATCTTGCTCAGTTTCAAGCTATGTGCTGTGATGAAGACAGAGGGGGTTTTGAGTCCAATCAACTGCCAACCACAGGTAAGTGACAACACCGACAGCTTTTAAAACATTCTCATAGATGCTGCAGCAATACTAGAAAAAGAAATGAAAAGAACAATTCACTAGGGAAGAGTGAAAACAAATATCATAATATATCTGTATAGTGTATTACCCAAGTATTAAAAGCATATTAGGATGGAGCATTTCTGTTTTGGTATACCAATAACTTAGAAAGGTTTATTATTTCACAATAAACTGATACAGCAAGAGATGCACAGGAAAATCAAAAACTGGTAAAATAAATTCATATCTTTAACAGAATTGGAACACTTTTTTTGTGGTACAAATTAAATGTTAAAGAAAGCATATTAATCTTTAAGTCTTAGGGAAACAGCTGTTCCAAACGTTTCATTTCCAAATTCTCCCAAGTGGTGCCCGACTTTACACGAGTGAATAAAGTGAATCTGATTGGTCGTCTATCAAGGGGCCGGGATTGTTGTGGCTGAAGATTCGCAAGCAAGTTTGATTGTGGCCTGCAAAGCATCTTGCTAACCAGTTAGTACTAGTTGGTTCCCAATGGGAAATTCAATTGGGAACAAGTAGCACTAAATTTGTGACTTAGAAACGACACTGTCAAGGAACGCTATGGACAGCGGAAACACGCAAGAGGAGGAGAGCTTTGCGTCTGAGGTCGTGGATAAGTCTTGTCCGTCATACATTTTTTTATTTAGAGGAGGAAAGCGGGGACAAATATGTTGTGGAAGAGGACGCCAGGGAGGTAGGAGCTTGGTTTGGTGTAGAGGCTTACAGTCGTACATTTTTCAGACCTTGCCCTGCAATGCTCCCACACTGCATGAAAAGTGGGATTTTCGTCAATATACGGCACTTTAGATTGTCGTGGAACTTCAGGTTAGCGGCAGTTTACGGCAATTTGCAGGCTTCGCCAAAAACTCCCGTAAATTGTCAGAAATTGACGTGGAATTTCTTAGGCAGTGTTCCCCCCATGCCCCCCCCCCCCATGGAATTCTAGGGGAGGCTTTAAAATGTAAATGAACATGCTGTGAGCTATACAAATGCAAACCAGGGTTGCAGGGGGGGTTTTACCCCAAGTGACATTTTTCTGGGTAAGAAAATCTCTGATACAAAGAGATCAGGCTCAGTATAGCCTCTTACATTTTAGCTTGAATTGATTTATTTAATTAAAGTATAGAGACCAAAACAGATCTTTAGCTGAAAGAGCAATACATTTAGAGCAGTAATTATTTTTTTTTTAAATTTGCATTTAAGATAAAAAATAAAATGTTGTCTGTCAATATGCTCAATTCACAATTACTTAAGTGGAAAAGTTTCAAGAAATGATTCTGAGATGATTCACTTTATAACATGGCGCATTATCCTGTTGGAAGTAGCCATCAGAAGATTGGTACACTGTGGTCATAAGGACATAGGTCAGCATGCTAAATTGGTATTAAGTGGCCCAAAGTGTGGCAATAAATATCCCCCAAATAGATGGTAGAAATAGATCAGGCTCAGTATAGCCTAATTATAGACTCTTACATTTTAGCTTGAATTGATTTATTTAATTAAAGTACGCTAGATTACTGTGTATGCAAATATTATGTAAAAAAAATACACAAAATAATTTACTTCAAAAATTAGTTTTAATCAGAATCAGTTGGCTGTAATGGTTAATTTTTTTTTTTTTAGATTTCCACTTTTTTTTTTTTTTTGTTATTGAATATATAAGAAAACAATAACAATCTCAAATAACAAGTCAATAACAAATATTTCAATACAAGAAGAAATATCACAACTCCTGCTTTTGAAAAATAAAATTAAATGCACAGGCTGGAACAAAGTATAAAATAAAATAAATAAAAATAAATAAAATAATAATAGTAGTTAAAGTAAATTAATCAGTGGGGACTACCAACTGAAATTCTTCAATTAACTCAAACAATTTAATTGCATTTAAATTCTGCATCTTTCTCAGACATCTTTTGAAAAGGGAAAGTTCATTTTTGAGAGCAGAGATTGAGAGGGAGCATTTTGCATAGCGACATCTATGGATATAATACTTTGTTACAATTATTAGAATATTGATTAAAAATTCCATTTTTTTTTCTTTAATGGATAAACCGAATTGAATGTTTTGCCAGGAAATAAAATCTAAATTTATTGTTTTAGAAGACAGAAAGGTTCGAAGTTGATCCCATAAGTTTAATACTTCTTTACATTCATAAAAAAGATGTTTAGTTGTTTCCAATTGAGTTGTACAAAAGCCACAATTCTCAACATTAAACTTAAATCTCTCTCTTAAAAACTCATTTGAAGGATATATGTTATTTATTATTTTAAATTGTAATTCTTTATATTTAGGAGGAATTGGGAATTTCAAATAATTTGTCCTAATTGTGACTATCATAGATTTCTTAAAATTTTGTAAGAGAGCTGTGCTTTTTGTTCTTCCTGCACTGTAAACCCCAACAGGTTCAATGAACTCAAAATATTTGATGAAACTGATTACCTCAAAATATTTAGCTATGTTAAAGAATATTTTAAGTAATTTCTACTTAAAATGAGACTTTGGTTAGTGCTCAAAATCTTTGAGTATAAGGATAAAATTAAAAAGAATAATGTGAGAAAAAGATGTTTTAAGTAATTACTACATTAGTTAGACAAGCTCTTTACACTTAAAACCTTTGGTCAAATGAACAACATTAAAACAAATAATTTCAACAAACAAACATTTTAAGTAATTACTACTCTAAACTAGAAAAGTTATTCACACTCATTTATTTTGAGGAAGTTGATGAACTGAAACATAATAATTTCACAAACTAACATTTTAAGTAATCAATACTTAAATTTTTGATAAGTTTAATGAACCTGATAATTTTGAAACTAATGTTAAAACTAACAAAATTGACACTGGACACGGAGTTGATTTTTTTAAGTTATCACCCCTAATAATCATGTTATCACCATAACTCATTCAGTTTCTCAGACCTAAACATTGTCAATTCAGCCTTTTATATTTTTAAGTTGACTTAACTGTATTTAAACACATTTTATTGCCTGTATATGTTAGCAATTTTTCTCAAAATCAAATATATTTTATTTGTATGATTCAAATAAAAAAATATTCAAAAGACAATTTTACTGCAGATTCCATTTATTTATGAATTCCATTAGAATTCAGAACAATGTCCCCAGCAATGGGGTTAATACAGAAAATAAAATAAATAACAACCACATTTTCAATCAAAATGCTGAATAAATATGGTTTTATTTATTCAGCAAATAAAACCGTAAAAGATCTTTTAGTTCCCAGTGACTTCAAGGCAGACCAAAGCATTTCCGTACGAAACTCTGGGACCTCAAGCCAAACACTGAAATGATCAAGAACAAAAACAATTACAAATCTGCAGGTCTGTTCAAAGCTGCCTTCTGAAACATCGGCTTCTCTGTATCCACAAAAAACGAAAAATTGGCCAACATAATAGGCCGATCCAAAAATAATAGGCCAACAATAATAGGCCAACATTAATAAAAAAGCGAAAACAAAAAACAAAGACAAAATGGTTGCTTGAGTATCACCATGCTGGTAGTAACAACGACTTCTTTTAAGCAGACTGCTTACTCATCCATCATCAGATCATTTTTAAGGCTAAGCAGTCTCGGAGGTAACCGCTTCAGGTCATCCAAACCCATTACAACTTTCTGAATAAAATTGAATGTATATGTCAATTTCTTGGGATACTGTAGATGTAGTGCATAAATCAAGCCAAAAAGCAAAATGAATGTCTCTGTTAACTGTGCTATAGTATATCACATACCACAATCTCTCCCTCAAGAACTATAGAATGTATTGCAGGAACAAACTTCACAAGGGAGACTGTATCATTCGAGACAGTGAGAACCAGGGGCGTTGCTAGGCACAAAGCTTTACTGGGGCACTGGCCCCCTAGTGCATATGCCCCTCCTTCCATACACAAATACAGACAAGCACACTGCCCCACCCTGATACATAACTACCAAAATTACCAGTTGAGATATTAATGAGTATAAGAGCATATTTGTTTTAACAAACATGAACATTTTCAACATTGCAGCTATAAAAAATAAGACATCACCAACTTTGACAAATAAAAAGTTTCCTTATACACATTCTGAAGTAATCATTAATTCCTAGGTTACAGAGTTTTAGTTCAGGGGAAAGATTAACTCAACCCGAACTAAGTTTTTCTTTTATTTTTTGAGCATTAAAGTTTACCTCCTATTTTTCATTTTTGCAAAGCGGTCAATCACTAGACTGTGACTCAGCTTAGAAAGTTCTTCCTTTTCAACTGATAAAATAGCCAGATGATGGAGCCTGTCTTGTCCCATTGTGCACCTCAGCCAAATGTGGATCCTTCTCAACACACTGAATGACCTTTCACAACTCCAGCTGTTAATTGTGATTGTGAGGGAGGTCTAGATGACCTGCATTAGTGTGGGGAACATGGTGTTATCAAGCAAGTTGAAAACACACTGCATATCCTTGATGACAAGGCTTTCTTTTCAACCAGGAAAATCTTTCAAACCATTTTGAATTAAATTAAAGTTTTTTTTACTCCAAATTTGTCCTGGGGATAGTGGGACAACTTCACTTGTTTAGGACCATCATGCTTTCCCCCTAAGTCACTAATGTCTCCTTCTTGTTTGTGGACGCTGGTTGTTGCTCCCTCATCACCTTCATGGTCCTGTCCCTCCTGTCTCTCACCTGTCTCTCTCCTGTATCTCCTGTCTCTTGCCTGTCAGTCTCGCCTCCTCCTCCCTTTCCTACTCCAGCACCTTCATTCTCATTCTCTACAGCAAACATTAAAAAACGTAAATTTATTAGTGACATGCGCTGACGTGGGGGCGCTATTACATCCTCAATTTGGAGTTAACGACAAACTTGCTGCGCATTTGAGTAGAAATATACGTCTTCTCCCGTTGGAATTATCTAAATTGATGCATTAAAAAAATGTATCACTGTTGCAAATATTCATGAGATTTATACTGGGGCACAGCTCATTTATACTGGGGCACGTGCCCCAGTAAATGGGGTCTGGCGAAGCCGATGGTGAGAACAGCTACAGTTGTATCCGAGAGGTCTGGCAGGTCAATGTCTTCTGCCTAAAGATGACATGACAGTAATTAGTTAATGAGTAGAGCAGTGAATGAAAAACACTACATGTGTATTTAATATGAAACACCAGTGAATGAAAACTTCAGGTAAAATTCCCAAATATGACATTCTTGGAGAATTACTGTAGTACAGTGTGATTTAATAGCTTTTCTGGTGGCTAGGACGAGGGTTGTGGTTGTTGTCTTTTGGCAGTAACAGAGGGTTAAATAGAAAAAAAATATATTTATAGAGATACACAAACTAAGAAAAAGAAAGAGTAAAAGAGTACACACAGTTGAATCTAGGGCTGCAACTAACGATTATTTTAAAAATCGATGAATCGGCCGATTATTTTTTCGATTAATCAATGAATCGGACAAAAAATATTTTTTATATTAACCTCTTTATTCCAAAATAAACATTTTAGACAGAACAAACAAGCACACAAGTACAGGTTGCTCATTAACTGTACTGGTGCAATATGAAAAATAAATGTTTGTGTTAAAACTACGCAAACTTACATGAGAAATGTAGCTGTACATCCACAAAATATAGGCTACTTCGTTTCATAAAGCGCAAAAAAAGGCATTTTTGTTTTTAAAAGCCCCTAAGGGGTTAAAACAATAGGTCCCCCCATTTCAACAAATGAGTTTTTTTAGACTAGAAGAGTTCTGCCTTTTAAGACAGGAAAGTATAGCAGTTAAAGTTGCTACTTGAGAAAATACTGAACCATAGAGATAAAAATAGCCTGTGATTCAAATTATAAATTGTATTTGGAATAAAAATGAGAGAACTAGGGGTGCTAAAAAACACATCCTCCAAAGACAGATATTTACATGGGAATGTGGCATATAATTAATTGACATATTACTGATCTTGCTGGATTTTATTCTGCTTTACTTCCATAAATTGCAGGATCTTCTTTACTTTATCTTTGCCAGAAGATTTAAACTTTAAAAGCCTTGCCCTCATAATTTGCAAGTTAATTTATTTATAAAGGCTGTTTTAATTATTGTGATCAACTTGTGCCGTCAATCCCGGCGCATGCGCGCTTCATTTGCAGTCTGGACTCTGAAACATCCTGCGGCTCTGACTGCAGCTCTGAGAGGGACTCCTGTGGGAGAACGGGGTTGAGATGGGGGAGGCGCCTCACGGCAGTGTAGGAACGATACATGCGTTCACGTAAGAGTCTCCAAAGGCCACCAGTGACACCGTAAAAAGTTGCCAGATTTGTCACTATTCACTTTTTTTTTTTTTTTATAGTCGCTGGAGGGGTCTGAAAAGTCGCTAAATATAGCGACAAAGTGGCACACTGGCACCTGCAGCGCTGGCTCGCTCTGCCGTAATTTTTTTTTCTTCCCCCGTTTCAGTCAAGTGGCAGTGATGACGGTGGCGGTGGATGACGCATTAATCGCGCGACACAACTAATCGATGATGAAATTCTTTGCCAACGCTTTTAAAAGTCGATTTTTATCGATTTTATCGATTCGTTGTTGCAGCCCTAGTTGAATCATAAACTTACATTCCAGGTCTTAAAAAATCCAGCAGCATCTTCACGCAGGAAGATAGGAAGTGCCTGCAGAGCAATTGTGCTTCTGCTGTTAACATTAACGTCTTCCTAGAAGAAAGAGGGATTGTGGGTAATGGGAAGACAGAATTGCAGAATAAGCAGAATATTAATCATATGCATATATTAAATAATACTATAGTACAAATTGTCATGAGGTAGGAAATGTTACATACAAGGAGATCATAGGTCCTGAAGATGTTTCTTAGCAATTCAGAAGTTTTGCCAGTGCGGGCCGCTTTCTCACGGTACATCATCATTAGCCGTGGCATGTACTTATCAAATGCAGAATAAAATGTACTCTTTAAATTCATATTTGTTATTCGATGGAATTCTGCACAAATCTGAAAATGCAAAAAGAAAATTGGTCACAATGACTTTAAGTTATATATTGCTGCAGCATGGCATCACTACCCATAGGTCAAATTATGCTAAAATCGTTGCACTTCCTCACAACTGGGTGTGTGGGTTAGACCACTTCCTGAGGGGTGGCTACACTGCTAAATATTATTGGCTGTAGAGCATGTCCGATTTTGATAACGGAAACTGCTACAGGTATCTTTAGTGAGGATAAGTCCGTTTCTTTAAAGCAACATTAAAGCACTTTTATTTGTTTATCCAACACCTACTTTGCAAATAACAATGTCCACAGATAGGGTAGAGTATGTTGCATGATTTTATGAAAGTATGATGTATTGCGACATCGAAGCAAATAATCAAATGAGTAGTTTCTTACGTCTGATGAGTGCCACTAAGATATTCTCATTAGAGAGCAGTAGCCAAACTTAGATATTGTATTTTCATGGCCTAGTTTACCAGACAGGATGTTTACATAAATCTGTTTTAAGGCTTATTTGCACAGATAAGATTTTTTAGGTATTGTTAAAGAAAAATGATTATTTTTAGACTTTATTACAGTTAATCTTATGGCATGTGTAAACACTCTCACTTGAACATATTTCTTAATTTTGAACAAGGCTGTGTTAATGATTTAAAACTACTAATGGGTAAGTATTTAGAGCACAGGCCATAAAATGAGTATCTCCTGGGGGCGAACATTATTTAAGCCTGCAGGAGAGATTTCTGCTTGGTTTACAGAAGGTCAAAAGTCTTCCAGAATAAACAACCAGGGATGGTGAGGCCCCCCGCATTCCACAAGCTGTCTGTGAGAGCTTATCTTGTGTTTTATGACCCTGGGAATTCTAGATGCCAGGACAAGCTTTCCGCCTTTTCTTGTTAAAATAAAGAAGCAAATGACCCCAGATGTTTGCAGTAAATTAGGTGAAGCTCAGTGTCAGAGATGGCTCCTGGTTGGAGGACCGAGGGCCAGTCCTTTTTGAATGGATTAGATACAAGAGGATAAAGCTTTCTAAATAGAACTAAAAAATCAGATTTTGCTCTTGCAAACTCTCCAAAGATGTCTTGTACGTCTTTGCTTTCTTTCCTCCTATGTCAGGTAATGGAATGTATGTCTCTGTTGTTCTGCAGTTTCTGGTGTAGGTTTGTGCATTGTCTTATTTCTAAAGTGTATGCATTGTCTTATATTGGATTAAACTCTGTAATTCTGTGACGTCAACACGCAATGTTGGTTTTATTACCAAACGCAGCTCGCCGAGTGGACCTGGGGAAGGGAAGAATCAGAAGCCAATCTTTTTCCAAAGTTAACTATGTTAGAATATTTTCTTCCTTTACAATTGGGGGCTCGTGCCGGTTCTGGAGTCTCGGCGGGCGGCTGTTTTGTCCTGATTGATCCGTTTCGGCCCGACGCTTCGGTGTGGTAAGACAGTATTAGATTATTTTTTTAGTTGTCTGAAGCGCCGTGTGTCGTCGGACCGGGGCTGATTTGCTGTGTGCGGCCTCACAGAATTCAGAAGCTGCAGAGGTAGATAGGATCCCTCCTAAATGAGTCGGTTGTTTAAGGATTTGAATAAATACACATTACAGGGAACTGTGGCTAGTTCAAACAGAGCCTTTACGTTAACTCTGACTTAAGCTGGGTTTTTTAAAAGAAGGTTTTATTGATTGATTAATTAATTAATTGATTAATTAATAAAGATTAATTTATTCTTTTTACTCTGAGGAGCAATGCCTGGGCCTCTAGAAAAAGTATTTTGGAAATTTGTGTATTGGTTAGTTTTGGCTTGTATCAGCCGGA